GCCTCTGAAGAGCGCCGTAATCTTGCTTCACCCTAGCTGCCTTTGGGGTATTGAGAAATCTGCAGGAAGAACACATACAAAAGATTGTGACAGTCTGGCTGCAGACTTAAGAGCAAAAGGATTTTAGCAGTTGCTCCTCTCTTCTTGAAAAACACCAAGCAAACAAAAAACCCGACCCCCCCCCATAAATCATATACATGGAATAAGTGGAGGTGGGCGAAGGGCAAGAACTAAGCAGCACCGATTTCTGATTTTATGTGGACACGAGTAGCTCTTGTTTACAAATCTGTTTCCCTGCAGGCACTATGATCTTGACCAGCTGCTCGATCCCAGGAGCGTAACGTCTGACCCTCTGGACTATCGCCTCAGCTGGCACCTGTGGGAGGTGCTCAGGGCCCTGAATTACACCCATCTCTTCAGGCAGAGCCAGGGCGTGCTCAACGCCAGCTATGCTGCCCAGCTGGAGAGCGAGGGCCTCTGGGAATGGGCTGTCTTCATCCTGCTGCACGAGTCTCACACCCCGTGAGTAACAGATTGTGTTTTCCTCTGAAATCGTGCCATTGCTGGTTTCTGGACCTGCTGTGTGTACCGTAGCTGTCACAGCTGCTCTCGCCTTAAACCGGAACTGCGCGGCTGGAGAGCTTCATGCCATGAGCGAACGTTGGGTGCTAGGGTTACAAAGGGGCGTGGGTAATCCTGCTCAGTTAAATTTGTCTCGGTAGATGTTAAATCGGATTGTACTGTAATGACTGCAACTCCTGAACTGTGTCACAGAAGCAGATCTCCTCATCGGGTTGATGCCTGCCGGCCGCGTGGCTCGTCTCTGGCTCAGCAAGCTCCCCACGTTCAGGGGCTTGTCCTGAAAACACCATTAATGCAAAATACTGTCACAGTTCCCACTGGAGCTGAACCGGAGGCACTGTGTTTGAGAGGAAGGCTTGGGAATCACCAAAACACACATTCGGCTTGTGCTGTGGAGTAGAGACTTCACAAAGAATTGTTGTAAACTTGTAAATCGTACATCTTCCGTGGAGAGGTGCCTCCTGCTGTTAATGTTTACAGCCACCATTAACACATCGAGACGGAATTTTTTCCAACCAAGAACTTCAAGTCGAGCCTGTATATTACTCCTAGGGGCTTGGCTTATACTTAGATAATTTTAAGCTTAGAATGTTTAAGATCTTACAGAACACTAGTGACGGCCTTGCTTAGTGGTTAACCCATACTGAAGGAACTCAGCTGATTTTAGAGCTTTCCTTAATGTCCTACAGTAGGGCTGTTGGCGGCCTGGTGAAGCTGGCGCTTGCTACGCCCGTGCCTCCACCGGGGCCAAACAGTACAGTGCAGCCCTCAGCTGCTGGCATCGAAATGTCTTCTGATGGAGGGGGGTGAAGGATTGCTTGCTGGAGTAACGCCTCGTTCTCTCCTCCGCAGCACGCGGGAGAAGGCGGTGCGGGAGCTCCTGACCCGGCACTGCGCGCTCGCCGAGACCCCCGAGTCCTGGGCCAAGGAGACGTTCCTGACACAAAGGCTCTGTGTCCCCCCGGAGTGGATTCATGAAGCAAAGGCGGTTCGAGCGAGGATGGAGGGTGACAAGCATAAAGAAGCCCTCTTCTTGTTCAAGGCTGGGCACTGGAACCAGTGTCACAAGCTGGTTGTCAGGCACTTAGCCTCAGGTGGGTCTGCTCTCCTGTTCTCCTCCGAGCAGCGCACGCAGCCGCGGCCGGAGCAGACGTCGCTGGGTGTTCACTGACGGGAAGGGGTAGGGCTGTGCTGCTAGCAGGGGGGTTAGAGTGGCTGGCTGTTCCACAACAGCTCTCGCTTGATGTCTGGAGTGATAACTCCTTGCCAGGAGGGGGCAGAGAGGGGGGAAGAGTCTCTGGAGCCAAGGAGCCAGCGCCAGGCCCCGAGGGAATGGCCTCAAGCTGCCCAGGGCAGGGTCAGGCTGGCTCTGAGGAAGGATTTCTGTGCAGAAGGGGCTGTTAGGCGTTGGAATGGGCTGCCCAGGGCAGGGGGGAGTCCCCGGGATCCCTGGAGGGGTTGAAGAGTCGGGCTGAGCCAGCGCTGAGGGATCTGGGGGAGTTGGGAACGGTCAGGGGGAGGGTCATGGTTGGGATGGAGGAGCTGCAAGGGATTTTCCAGCCTGGATGATTCTGGGGTTCTGTGAAGCACATCTCCCACTGATGGGCTGTTGCCAGGTGTTTGCCAGCAAGACAAAACTAAGAAGGTGGGCAGCAACCAGCAGTGGCGAGGCCGCTGGGACTGGGTAGCCAGTCAGTTTTCCTGGTGTGATGATTAATACTTAGCTACCTGAGTTCTAAACCGGCCCTTGCCCTGTTTGTTGCCCTCGCTGTTTCTGCAGCCCACGTGGAAGCTGTCCCCCAGGCTGCATGTATTATGCAAAGCCTTGTTTGTTGCTGTAGATCTGTCAGCCTCTCTGTACAGAAAGACAAAGGGTTCTGTTGAAAAAAGGGTTTAATCATTTAACTAAAGGTAGTTCAGCCCTTCATCTGTAATGCCTAAAGGTAGGCCAAGCACAGCATCGAGTCTAGTGACTTCTCCTTGATGCGTGCTGAAGGCTGCAGGGATGTTCAGGGTTCTCTTTGCAGGTTGTGTGCCAGCAATAACGTGTTCATCTCTCCGAAATACCAAGCTTTAGTTTTGTCGTCACTTGAACTGAAGATAATTCTGCTAGGGTAGAACATGGGGGTGGCCTCTCTGCAGCTCCATGATGTGGAGGAAAAGCAGCTCCGGCTCGATTTCAGAACTCCCCGTAGGAGGGTTGAGAAGGAAACCAGCAGGATGTGGAGTGCTCTTCCAAACCCACATCTGTGAAAATGCCAAGAGGATTTCGGTACCCCCCCGACTGGTTAGATGGTGTGAAAGGCGACAGTTGTGCAGTTCAGTGCCCTGGAAAACGGTTCTTGTCGCCTCGGCGCGTTCCGTGCCGCCTGCTGGGGCTCTCCAGGCTCTGCTTAGCCCCGGTGGCAGCAGAAGCTTGCCGGGCTGCGCCGTGCTTCCATCCCTCAGCTCATGGGGGGGTTCCAGCTGTTAAATCATTCAGGAAACGTGTTGCGTGTATGGGTTTGCAGACTATACCTCCACACGGCAGCTTTCAAGAGCTCACTGGGGGGTGAAACGAAGCCTGCTGAAGCATTCTGGGTTTAGTTTTTCTCTTTTTAGGGTTCATGTTAGCAAGTTTTAACTGCACATGCAGCAGGATGCACCACTTCGGAGCAGAAAGCCTGCTGCTGAGCCTGCCGACCTGGGTGGGATTCAGATCTGTCCAGAGCGCTGGCTGTAACCTTCCTCTTCAAATGATTTCTTTAGAACACAGCAGAGAGCGAAAAATATGCCTGCTGTCCTCTGCCTCCTTACCTAGAGGATTCTGGTTGTGTAATTGAAGACGACGATAATGCAGGAAGACCTTTGAGAGACGTCTGTTTCCATTTGTTAAAACTCTACAGTGACAGGTAAATGGGTAAATAGTTCAAAAACTACTTAGAAAAGTCCTGATCCGTCAGTGACTTGTTGAATTCACAATCCAGGGGCATGAAATCAGCTTCGCTGTTTACCAAACCACTTGCAGTAGTCAAAAATCTGCCTTGCGTGGACAGCCGTGGTGACGCTGTCACTGCTGGGGATGGTGCAGATGAGGAAGCTTAAGCGTTGGAGCGTGTTTGTGGGGTTATTACGTGTTTTGTGCCTCTGAAGAGCGCCGTAATCTTGCTTCACCCTAGCTGCCTTTGGGGTATTGAGAAATCTGCAGGAAGAACACATACAAAAGATTGTGACAGTCTGGCTGCAGACTTAAGAGCAAAAGGATTTTAGCAGTTGCTCCTCTCTTCTTGAAAAACACCAAGCAAACAAAAAACCCGACCCCCCCCCATAAATCATATACATGGAATAAGTGGAGGTGGGCGAAGGGCAAGAACTAAGCAGCACCGATTTCTGATTTTATGTGGACACGAGTAGCTCTTGTTTACAAATCTGTTTCCCTGCAGGCACTATGATCTTGACCAGCTGCTCGATCCCAGGAGCGTAACGTCTGACCCTCTGGACTATCGCCTCAGCTGGCACCTGTGGGAGGTGCTCAGGGCCCTGAATTACACCCATCTCTTCAGGCAGAGCCAGGGCGTGCTCAACGCCAGCTATGCTGCCCAGCTGGAGAGCGAGGGCCTCTGGGAATGGGCTGTCTTCATCCTGCTGCACGAGTCTCACACCCCGTGAGTAACAGATTGTGTTTTCCTCTGAAATCGTGCCATTGCTGGTTTCTGGACCTGCTGTGTGTACCGTAGCTGTCACAGCTGCTCTCGCCTTAAACCGGAACTGCGCGGCTGGAGAGCTTCATGCCATGAGCGAACGTTGGGTGCTAGGGTTACAAAGGGGCGTGGGTAATCCTGCTCAGTTAAATTTGTCTCGGTAGATGTTAAATCGGATTGTACTGTAATGACTGCAACTCCTGAACTGTGTCACAGAAGCAGATCTCCTCATCGGGTTGATGCCTGCCGGCCGCGTGGCTCGTCTCTGGCTCAGCAAGCTCCCCACGTTCAGGGGCTTGTCCTGAAAACACCATTAATGCAAAATACTGTCACAGTTCCCACTGGAGCTGAACCGGAGGCACTGTGTTTGAGAGGAAGGCTTGGGAATCACCAAAACACACATTCGGCTTGTGCTGTGGAGTAGAGACTTCACAAAGAATTGTTGTAAACTTGTAAATCGTACATCTTCCGTGGAGAGGTGCCTCCTGCTGTTAATGTTTACAGCCACCATTAACACATCGAGACGGAATTTTTTCCAACCAAGAACTTCAAGTCGAGCCTGTATATTACTCCTAGGGGCTTGGCTTATACTTAGATAATTTTAAGCTTAGAATGTTTAAGATCTTACAGAACACTAGTGACGGCCTTGCTTAGTGGTTAACCCATACTGAAGGAACTCAGCTGATTTTAGAGCTTTCCTTAATGTCCTACAGTAGGGCTGTTGGCGGCCTGGTGAAGCTGGCGCTTGCTACGCCCGTGCCTCCACCGGGGCCAAACAGTACAGTGCAGCCCTCAGCTGCTGGCATCGAAATGTCTTCTGATGGAGGGGGGTGAAGGATTGCTTGCTGGAGTAACGCCTCGTTCTCTCCTCCGCAGCACGCGGGAGAAGGCGGTGCGGGAGCTCCTGACCCGGCACTGCGCGCTCGCCGAGACCCCCGAGTCCTGGGCCAAGGAGACGTTCCTGACACAAAGGCTCTGTGTCCCCCCGGAGTGGATTCATGAAGCAAAGGCGGTTCGAGCGAGGATGGAGGGTGACAAGCATAAAGAAGCCCTCTTCTTGTTCAAGGCTGGGCACTGGAACCAGTGTCACAAGCTGGTTGTCAGGCACTTAGCCTCAGGTGGGTCTGCTCTCCTGTTCTCCTCCGAGCAGCGCACGCAGCCGCGGCCGGAGCAGACGTCGCTGGGTGTTCACTGACGGGAAGGGGTAGGGCTGTGCTGCTAGCAGGGGGGTTAGAGTGGCTGGCTGTTCCACAACAGCTCTCGCTTGATGTCTGGAGTGATAACTCCTTGCCAGGAGGGGGCAGAGAGGGGGGAAGAGTCTCTGGAGCCAAGGAGCCAGCGCCAGGCCCCGAGGGAATGGCCTCAAGCTGCCCAGGGCAGGGTCAGGCTGGCTCTGAGGAAGGATTTCTGTGCAGAAGGGGCTGTTGGGCGTTGGAATGGGCTGCCCAGGGCAGGGGGGAGTCCCCGGGATCCCTGGAGGGGTTGAAGAGTCGGCCTGAGCCAGCGCTGAGGGATCTGGGGGAGTTGGGAATGGTCAGGGGGAGGGTCATGGTTGGGCTGGAGGAGCTGCAAGGGCTTTTCCAACCTCCATGATTCTGGGTTTCTGTGATTCTGTGATGGTTCTTTGCTGTAGCCACATGAGAAGGGCTCAGTCTCAGCACATCCCCCTTCCTGGGCCAGAGGTGCCTCAGGGAGCGAGGGCAGCGGTGGCTTTCCTACAGCCCCCATCCCGTGGGTGCCCCTGCTCCGGGGAACGGGCTGCCCTTACACTGGTGTGGTCAGGGAGTTACAAAACTACCCGAGAGTGCAGTCCCTCCGTTAGTTTTTCTTTAACAATGACTTGTAAGAAACTTTTTCTCTCTGTTACTGACGTGCTTGTTCTCCCTAGATGCTATTATTAATGAAAACTACAAGTACCTGAAAGGGTTCCTGGAGGACCTTGCTCTTCCGGAGCGTAGCGCGCTCATCCAGGACTGGGAGGTGGCAGGGCTGGTCTACCTGGATTACATCCGTGTTATTGAGATGCTTGATAGGATTCAGCAGGTAACAAACTTAAAACAGTTGTGGGGGTTTGGTTTTATGGTTTTTTGTTTTTTTTTTTTCCCTACAGTTGGAAGCTCACGGAGAGCCTTGCTTTTGGAATAGCCTTTTACTGGCTTCTCAGTGCCAACGTTAGCGTTTCCCTTTGGCAGATGCTGGCTGGCAGAATATGGTGCATCTCTGAAAAGACAGAGATTTGGCAGATGTTGTCCAAAGCAGGTCTGGGCTCTGCCCCGCAAACGTGCTCTCTGGAGTGTGATGGGTTATTGAGGGAGAAGCAGCGCGATCAGCTGGTAACTAGCTAGCTAGTGGGGGGTCTGCCTGTCAGTCCCCTCTAGTTCAGCTCCAGGCTCCCCATTGCCCCCCCTCCAGGTGGTAACTTTAAGCAGGGATTAGTGTAGACTCTCTTCTCTTGGATAGGTTTGGCTCAGAGCGTGCTCGGCCGTCTGCCTGCGGTTCTGCTGAACCTCTGGGTGCCGCAGAGGCTGATTTTTTTCTTTGTTTCCAGCTGGATTGTTCCACCTACGAGCTGGAGCGGTTACATACCAAAGTGACGTCGCTGTGCAACAGGATAGAGCAGATCCAGTGCCGCAGCGCCAAGGACCGCCTGGCTCAGTCGGGTACGGTGACACGGGGACACCGATAGCCCCCCGGGGACACTGGCTTTACAGCCTCGCCCCACCCCTGCGGGCTGTCGGTGTGGCTGTTCCTCCGCCTGTGGGATGGGGAGGCTGCGGGTGGGGAGGGGAGCCGGGGGTTGCTCCAGTACTCGCCCTGCATGCAGCTCTGCCAGGAAAGCTCCTGTCCTGGCTCCCGAGGAATTTCCCCTTGAATCGCTGCAAAATTCACCCCAAATTCTGTAAAAAGGAAAAATACTCTTCCTGGCGAGCTCCCGTCCTTGCTCAGGAGCAATTTCCCCTCGAATAGCTGCTGAATTCACCCCAAATTCTGCAAAAAAAGAAAAATACCCTGCCACACTCACTCCTGTGCTGGCTCCTGCAGACTTTCCCCTCGAACCGCTGCTGAATGCCCCCCAAACCCTGCGGTACCCGAAGCCGAGCTGTGCCGCGCCGCCGAAGCTCCCTTTCTCTCCCTTTTCTCCCCGCAGACATGGCCAAGCGCGTGGCCAACCTGCTGCGCGTGGTGCTGAGCCTGCAGCCCCTGGCCGAGGCCGCCCCGGACCCCCAGCGCGTGCCCCTGCGCCTGCTGGCCCCCCACATCGGGCGCTTGCCCATGCCCGAGGACTACGCCTTGGAGGAGCTGCGCGGCCTCACCCAGTCATACCTGCGTGAGCTGACCACGCGCTGAGGGCTCGTCCTTCCACCGTCCTTCCTCCGAGGGACAGGGTCTGGGGTTTTCACACTTATCGGCAGGACGAACCACCGGGTCTCTGCCTGCACAGGTTTTTACGTTGAAGTTTTAAAAGAAAAAAAAAAAGTTTATTCCATGGGCTGACACAGTTCATTATTATTTTGTGTGTCACCTGGGGGAGTGGTGAGATGTGTTGGACCTTCCTGCCCGGCGCCGTGCCCCCCCCTTTCTAGAAACAACAAAGCTCGTTTTGCCCGTCCTGCCCACCCGGAGCTGCTACCTGGAGAGGGGCAGGTCCTTCCCCTCCCGCCGTCGCGGCACCGAGGACATCTCCATGAATTCTGGGATGGTTCTGAGGGCAGATCCCCCCGTGCCCTGCACCCCACCTGGCTCTAAGCAGGGCTTTAAGCGGGGCTTTGTGGTGAAAATGTGCT